AACATGGGTCACCATAGATTCTTCCCTGGGTTCATCGGTTAAGATCCCGGTTCGCCTAAGATCCCGCATTTCCTTGCTCCCGAGCACCGGGATCTTAGGCGGAGACTACTGTAGTTACTAGTCAGTATTACCGTGCTCGTTGATGGTTGGCTGGTGCTCTGATGTGATTTGCTCCTTCTTTCCTGTCAATCATCTATCCCGACTCCTCCTTTCCTATCAATAATCTATTCTCCCGTTCTCTCCTTCCTTTTTGTGTTTACTCTCTTCTAACTCCTCTAATCTTCCGCACTTTTATGACGTTGTTGTGTTGCTAGTGCAGTAAAACTCTTGCTAAAATTAAAACTAACTTACAAATTTTACTTAAAACACAAGGTGCTACACAGGGGGAACCAACAGTGGTGAGTGGATTGTCTGCATTGGTATAGTTAATAGTATTGAACACTTTTGTAAGGTTGAGAAATCAAGAAACTTTTCCGCTTTCTGAGCTGGATAACTGGATCGATAACAACTGAGCTGGATAATAATTGATACTTATGACGCTGAATAGACCCACGTTGTCCGTATTGCTTAGAATTTTAAAAATAATGAAAATGTATTTTTATGCCTTCATCGACATAACATAGATTCATATATGTGCTTCCACCCTGCTTATCAGGGAGAACTGTGGCAGAAAGAGATACAACATCCCAGGGCAAAGGCTGAGATACTCAATTAAGATTATCTCCACACAATAGTTGAATTTGGGGTCTTCTGGATGCTCTAGGGAAATACCTGACCTCAACATGACAGGCACAATTGTATTGCTTTATTGTTTCCATATATATTAAATGTATAGTAAGTTCCTCAAAACTGCTGTAATCTTTTAGGGAATATAGCAAATCTAATGAATAATAATGAGAGAGTGATGCAAAAGAAAGGTCTTTTCTTTTTCTTTTTATAGGGCTTAAAAAAAAAAATTTAGTTAAAAAAGAAGGAAAAAGCTTTTTTTTTGGTAAGAATACTACAATGTTGTGGGTGATTGGAGGATGCCCTGCGTAGGTTCCTTTTCTTCTTTAACATTCATTTATGGTATTAACTTTGTGATATGTGTCTTGGTGCTTTTTTAAACTGAATTATGACTATCACTGTGTCTGTGTGTCGGTGGTTGATGGGTGCTCAGGTGTGGTCTGCCCCTTCTTTCCTATGGAATATTTATCTTCTGTATCTCTCCTCCTTTTCTGTATTGCAAGTGCTGCAAAACGCTTACTAAAACTGTGTCTATATGCTCCATATCAGCATTTGTGGTCTTGTATTGGTGAATCTGTTTTCTTTACATGCTAAAGACAAGTCAATTTCCATGTCGAGAAGTTTATTTTGTCAATATTCTCTTGTCATTCTGGTGGGCTGCTGTATTGCAGGCTACTCATTGCACTCAACCTGGTTTGAACCTGATAGACAGGATCAAATCTCCAGATTTCCTTAATGACTCGAACTTTGTTGAATGGAACATACATATAATATTTGAGATGATCTACAAGTAGGCAGTCAAACCTCTTACTCTTACGGCCGCCTGTCCAAGATTATCACCCGTACACACTGAGACTTTCCATTCCCCCCCCCCCTTGGTTTTTTTAAAACATTATGACAATGTGTAAGATGTCCACCTGTCTAAGAGGACCAATTTTCTTCTTGACAATGGGTGGCCTTCATGGAAAATTTTGACCGCATGTCCCTTTACATACAATTACATGGTAAGTGCACTTTTATATCTTTGTAATGAACAAAACTATGAACGTGTCCTTGACTTTCATGCTCTTGCAGAAAAACCCGACAGCAATTCGCACTCCTGAGGAGGAGAAGGAAATGAGCATTCACTCATTGGACCTGATGGTCAACCTGGACAAAGGTCACGTGCTGAGCCCCCACGTGTTCAACATCTGCAGCGAGGCCACAGACGGCATTTTCGCCCAGGAGACTGACCTGAGGACCATCTCCAAGTGTAAGTCAAGGTCACCTCTGCTGTACTGTGTAGTGTGTTTTACAAAGATCACATCTGCGGAGGTCATGTGTGCCATATTGTGTCATATACTGTGAAGGTCACCTCTGCTGTGCTGTGTAGTGTGTGTTGCAAAGATCATATCTGCTGAGGTCATGTGTGCCGTATTGTGTCATATACTGTGAAGGTCACCTCTACTCTGCTGTGTAGTGTGTGTTACAAAGGTCATGTGGTCTTCATTGTTGGCGGGTGCTGCTTTGGTGTGGTTTGCTCCTTCTTTCCTACCAAATGTCTATCGTCCTGATCTCTCCTCTTTCTTTTTTTGTGTTTGCTAGGGGCGGGCACGAGACGAGCCGAGTAACGGTTTCTCGCGGGTAACGGTGACTTCCCGGGCACTAAACTACTGCTCGGTACCGAGACGTGATATTGCTCGTTGGCTTGACACAACGAGTAACAGTAACGAGAGTGAGAGAGTGAGAGGCGAGAAATGACAACGCAGACAGTGCCACCCATCACCGTGCCGTCTTGTGTGTGAAACTGAAAGGGAGGGGAGAGGTTGGCGAGACGAGGCGAGTGGGGAGTTGATCAGGGCCTAGGCCTAGGTCTCCCTACCTTCCTTCACCGCCTGCGCCTACGCAACAGGGCAAGCCTAGTTTCTAAGTTTAGATCTCCGCCATGAGCTGCTCGTTCTGTGGGGTGAGAAGAGAAATCTCGGCCACGGCCGGCCACGGTCGCTGAACGAGTGGCTCGAACTGCGGGGCGAGAAGAGAAATTGGTCACGAGACGAGAAGTATTTCTGGAGACACGAGAGGGGAAATATTTCCCGTTCTCGGAACCGGTCCTGGCGAGAAGTAGGTCAGCTTCTCGGTCTTCTCGCTCGGGAAGGAAAAAGCGCTTCCCGCCCGTCTCTAGTGTTTGCTACTCTCTTGTAACACCTCTAATCTTCGGCTCTTATATGACCTTATTGTGTTGCAAGTGCTGTAAAACTCTTCCTAAAACTGGTCCCCCCCCGGGGCAGTGCCACTGACTGTAGTGTCTTTAGGCCATTCCCAAAGGGGGGACATTTCTCGTTCATGCACAGCAAAATTGTAAATGGGCTGGTTCATCATGTCACGCTCATAACTGTGCCTGATCTACAACAGGGAACTGCTGCTTTTTCTGTCCTAATTCTTACTATTGTCATTTTCCTCTACTTCTTTTGTATGTTTGTCACTCCCTTGTGACCTGCTATTTCCGGGGTGCCTTGATAGTTGAAGCAGACCTTGTGCTGTTGAAGCTAGAGAGATGAGCTGAGTAAGTCTGATTCCCTGTAAAGACTTTTCTGTTGACACCCTCCCCTTGGCGCTCATATGACCTTATGCAGTTGCGAGCGCCGTAAAACCCTCCACTAAAACTAAACTAACTAAAACTGGTCTACATTGTGTCATAGTGTACAATGAAGGACACGCCTTATGTGCTGTGTCATAATATGTATTGTGAACTTGAAATGATATGTTTACCTGATCTACATTGAAATGAAATGTGTTGGTGTGTGCCTGGAGAAAGGTCCCAGTTGTCGGCAGAGGTGATTTTGAGCTATGCGATGAAAAGGTTAAAAAAAAGTTAGAAAACACGTAATATTTTAAGTCTAAATATTATTTTTGCAACATGATGTACTTCACCAAAAGTTAAAAATGGTCACTTTTAAGGACACGCGGGCTAACCAAGACTTCGGGGGTTTCTAGAAATCTTGATGTGCACCAAAAGTGAGCTTTGCCCTACATATAGGAGAAGTTTGGTTTCATTGGTGTGTATATTTGTTTGGTTATAGAGAAAACTCTCCTTGTCTTTTACAGAAACTGAACAAGGGTCCAAAAACTTTACCTTCGATTTTCTAAAAACAGCATTTTTCTTGATAGCCCCCTTGTGCCTAAAAGTGACCGAATGTGCTAGAAATTTTGTTGACATACTCAGGTTAAAGCCGTTTTTCTCCAAACTTTGTTTTTACACCATGTGTTATAAAATGTGACATATCTTTAAACTACTCAAGTGGGTGGTTGGCGGGTGCTCTGGTGTGGTTTGCTCCTTTTATCCTACCAAACATCTATCGTCCCGATCTCTCCTCCTTTTTTGTGTTTGTTACTCTCGCAACTCCTCTAATCTTCGTCACCTATATGACCTTATTATGTTACAAGTGCCTTAAAACTCTTTCTAAAACATAAAAAAACTACTCAAGATATTTGAAAAAGTAAAAATCAGCGTGTTGAGCATCGGATTTGTTACAAGAATATGTCCTTATTTCAATATCCAAAATTTTTGACAACTAAGACCCTTTTTCAGGCGCCCACTCAAATGTTTCGCTGCTCTACATCGAAATGAAATCTTTACCTCACCTGTGTTTTCTGTCCCTCACCCCTCAGCTCTGGCCAAGGACTACATCACGCTGATATCCTCCACCTCGGAGCTGGTGCCGAGCAAACACCCGAGATGCCGCGACACCTCAGATATAGGCCGGCCGTGTGCGTGTGAGCTGCGCACCTGCATCGGGTGGTACCCGTGTGGACTCAAGTACTGCCACGGAAAGGACACGGGCGGCAGGGTGGTCAGCTACCGGTGTGGCATCAAGACCTGTAAGCGCTGCTTGTCGTTTGTCTACGTCGCCAAGCTCAAGACCAAGTGTCTCTGGGACTTTTGATGAGAGTTCAGGATAGGGTCGACTACGGATGAGTTGATGTTATCGGGGGAGGGGAAGAAAGATCTACCCATCCAAAGTTCTAGTTAACTGTTGGGATCTGTGTAAAGAAGGAGGAGTGCTGGGACCCGGGAAAACGATATACTTAACTGAAGATCAATTCAAGTGGGTTCGACACAAGCAGAGTTGACTGTATGTAAGGAGGCATTGGTCATCTTTTGTTTTTGTCGCGAAGCAGTAGGAAAGTCTTTTTGATTGTTGATTTTTTTGTGACAAAGTTTTAAAACTTGTTTGGAATCTTTTTGTCTGATGTGCAACTTAGAAAAACTGTGGTTAGAACAGTATGTGCACATCTAACAGGACATGCAATTTAACAACGGACGTATTGTTGTATATATACACAAATAATGTGTGTAGTTTAGAAACACCCCAGTATCAATATTTTGGTTTGTGCTTTATTGACTTTCTGTGAAATGTCTTTGAGGAGAACTTTTAGAGGGGAACTCTTTTGATCGGAAAAAAAAAATTGTATTAACTTTAAAATGTAAATTGCAGGTATTTTGCACCACAATTGCCACTGTTTCGATCATTTTACTTTGATCACGAGACAAAATTTATATTTTTTTTCTAGTCTTGTTGGTTTGATGTCATTTTTACTGACAATATTTGTACATGCGTTTCCTCTTGCTGAACGACTTATTCTGATTCTTCTTGGATTTCCACTCATGTTGTCGCAGAAACGATGAAAACTTTTTACACTCTAGTTTTTCACCTTGTTGTTATTTGAGTTTTTTTAGAAGACTTTTTTTCAAGGTCACGTGAAAATTAGGAAGGTGAATGGAACGAAAAGATTAGATGAGATGAATGTATTATTTGAGCCTTTACTTCAGGCGTGTGATGTACCTGTATGTTGATGCTCCACATTGCCTGTCTTTCTCTCTGTTTATTTCTCTAATAGTTTATAGTTTTAGTCATAGATTTTTGCATTATCCATTTTTCTCTTAGATTGTCTATAGTCCCTTATTTCCATTTGTTAGATGGACTTTTGTTTCTGCTTTGTTTTGTTTGTGAAGGTTATAAATTATTTGTCGCTTTGGCAAACCATGGAGTCAGTCATGACCCTAACCCTAACATTTTTATTTTTAACTTAAAAAAAACCCCTAATTTTTAATGCAGACCTCAACTTTAGTGCGGTGGTCTCAACATCTCTCATTTCTCCCTCGTCTGACCCCGCTCAGGTTACAGCTCAGTCCTCACTGTACGTGCCACACACTCTCGCCCATTCTAGGTCACAAGATCTTGTAGTGAATGTTATACAGCCCGTCCAAGCAATTTACATAATTTTACTCTTACAGGCGGTAAGGTAATTCCTTGCTTTGTCGCAGCAGGTTTAATATAAAATATGTAAACTTAAGCATTTTCAGTCAGCTTTTAAAAAGATAGGTTTCAATATATACGAGCATGCATTACCCATTTAAAAAGATAGGTTTCAATATATACGAGCATGCATTACCCATTTAAAAAGATAGGTTTCAATATATACAAGCATGCATTACCCATTTAAAAAGATAGGTTTCAATATATACAAGCTTGCATTATCCACCAAAATTTTGGGAAAAGAATGAAGATGTTGCATGGAGATACTGCAAGCTGATATATATCTGATTCATGAGGAAGACAAGAATTTAAACAAAATACTCATCTTGTCAGTAATGTGTCGACTTCTGAAAGTTAAGAGACAGGCTGCTTCCACCGTCCCATTGGGGCCTACCTGGGCAGAGTGGGATGCAGAATCCCGGGAGAAAGACGGAAATAGTTGATGGAATAGCTTCCCCAAGAAGGGTCTGAGGTAAAATGTTTTTGCGCATAAGGCTGAACTGAATGCACATGCCTGTGGTCATTGTGACCAGGAAGCAGACTTGTCAGCTGTCCGGAATTTCCTGGGACAATCTCGGATTCAGCAGTTGTGAATGTGAGAGTCTTATCATATGCACTGCACGATGCCATAAGTTGTCCAGCTTGATGTAAATTTGTTCATTGTTATATTATGTAATATGATGTTATTACATTTGTGTCCTCTGTTTTGTTCTGAAAAACAGTGCAAGCTTGGAGTTATATGAAAACAATAAATCATCGAAAACCTGTAAGTTAGGTGTAAATAAGAAGTAAAAGGCCCACCCTGATGGTAAGTCTTCTCCTCAAAATGAAATGCAGTCTGGATTGAAAGAGCAAAAAGAGTCTGGAAATGCAATATTTTTGTCAACATGTCAACAATAGAGGTGTGGATAAGAGAACACCTGTTGTGTGAATGATACTTTGTGGTTATTGTTCTATTCATCTTTGTAGAAAGCTGAGCTAGGAAGCAGATTATCCTTGTTTCTGTTTATTATAGCTTTCTGTACCATGTTTTTGATCACTGTTGCTTTTGTCGAAAGAACGAAACCTTTGCTGTGTTAATTTGGTTGTTTTTTAAATCCTGCTTTTTTTTTCCTTATGCTGACTAAAGAATACTTTTGTAATGAAAATTTTATTTTAAAAATGATGGCTGATGAATGTTTTTGCAATGCGTACAGTCTTAAATTATCCGGTGTTTTTCATGCTCTTTTTAGAATAGTTGTGTTTTCTCTTTAAAGTTATTTTAGTAGGCTCTCAACCCAATTGGCTCTGTCCTATTGTAGACGGACGTTGAATCGAGAGGGCCTGCCTCTTAGATGACCTAATAGTGTTGCTAGGGACCTATACAAGTGGGTGGTTGGTGGATGCTCTAGTGTGGTTTGCCCCTTCTTTCCTATAAAAAAAGTATTGTCCTTATCTCTCCTCCTCTGTTGTATTTGTTACTCTCTTGAAACGCCTCAAATCTTTGGTACTTAGGCGACCTAATCGTGTAAGTTAAATGTAAAAGTGACATAAAATGTTTACTAAAACTAAAAACTAATGCATCGCGGGAAGGCACAATTGTTGAACATGGACTAGAGGTAAAAATTTATGCTTAGACTAAATCAAAACTTGTGGTGAGATTTAAGCAAATGTCTGAAGGTTTGGGTTTTTTTAAAATGCCGGTATGTTACAATTTTGTTACTGATGGAAGCTATGGGTTGTAGCATGAGAGTTGTGACTGGGGGGAAAAAAAGATCTGGCAGTGTGATATTAAATGTTGTATTGGAAATTGTTAGAATGTACAAGATGCTGTCTCTATGGTGTGTGTGTGTGTGTGTGTGGGAAGGGGGGGGGGGCCTTGTTAATGTATGTGTTTGCATGTGTGTGTGTATGTGTGTGTTTGTGTGTGTATGCATGTGTGTGTGTGTTTGCATATTATATATATGTATGCACCTGTTTGAGTTTAATGCTTAAGGCTATTTGTAAAGGTTTTCACATTTTGTATAATGTCTGTACATGCATGTTTTGCATTTATTGCCTAGCTATCTACCGTTATTTTTAAATTTAAAAATTGTAAATTAAATCTATGAAGTTTATTCTGTCTTATTACTGCTGATGTTCCGAGCATTGAACATCACAGGAGAATTAACCCTTTCACTGCCAGAACTGTTCCATAATCCCACCAATGATCTTATACCATCCTGGATGAGGCAGTGAAGGGGTTGAATCTTGCTTGACAACTTGGACAAGTGTCTGAACGTGCTTGCTTGGGCTGAGGATCAAGCAAATGTAAATAATAAATACTTCTGATTATATTCATTGGCAGTTCTTTTTATTTTGCTTTCTGACCAAATTTTTTTGCCTGGGATACATATGTGTGAAGATTTCTTTTCTAAACGCGATGTACGTAATTTTCGAAGATTCGGGATCCCCGTTCTCAAATGATTGAGTAGCAAACTAATCACATAAATTACAAATATTTTTTAACCAAAATGCAACGTACCGCTTTGAATAAGCGCTGACAGAATAAGGCCATTTTCAAAGTGTTATGACTTCGAGACAAAATGAGACATAGGTTGGACCAATCAGCATTCACAACTGCTACAAAACTAGTGCTGAGTTGCACTAATACAACTCTTTACATGCCTCAATAGGTCAAAACGCAGAATGAATTACTTTTCTTACAACACTGTACCTGAAGTAAAAATACCCATTTCCCCCAGAATGGAAATAATTGATATGTCTAATTTTGAAAACAAACTCTTCATTA